CGGACCGGCCAATCATGAGCCGGATCAGGAATGACTGTTTAAGTGGTGTTTTTTTTTATTTCGTTTTGGCCTTCTCTCCCTTTCTTTTATCCCAAGAGTAAGGAAAGAGATCAGACGAGGGCGACGGCTAGATCAGAGGTACTGGGAGCTGCTAAATGTGAGGAGACCCACCTGGCCTGTAAAGAGGCTGGACAGCTGATCTGACCCACTTACTGGCCCCTGACATGACATGGCTGTATATATATTCAAATGAGCCCGTGGATTAATGCCTCCACCTTCCTCCAACTTTGCATTCACACTCAATCTCCACTACGTTTCACGCTCCTTAGCTATCGCTCTATAAAAACGTCCCTTTTGTGGTAGTTCAAAGAACCCGATAACAAAATAGTTCAGTTCAGCGATCATTCCTTCCACATTTCTTTCTCTTTCAAGTCTGTCTAATTTCTTCCCTTACTTCTTCCCAAAATCGTCAAGGCTCTTTCCACAACCCAGTCTAATCTTTATAGGATTGTTCTCTCCCGCTTCCTTCAGGCTTGCCTTTTATCTTCTCCTCTGCTCCGAGTCTCTCCCCGGAGTCCACCAGAGTTCTGCCCTTTTCTCTGCCCGTCTTTCCACGTTCTCCTCAATCGGGGTTGCAGGGCCCTCTCTTATTTCTTTCTTTCTTTTTTTTTCCAGCTCAGCTTTCGCTCCTCCCTCCTCATTTTGGACCTTTGATTGGTCCGTGCCGGCTCCTGCTCTGTGGTGCGGATGGTTTGGCGAGGAAATGCTTGCCGGCTTTGCCTCCATTAACATTCTTCCAAGGGATATCTTTCACTTCCAATAAGCGTGCTGAACGTGATTCTAATCCCTGTTGTGTAATGATTTGACCCCTTCCCCCCCCCCTCCTCCCACCTTTCTTACTCTTATGCAGCCAGAAGCCAGTTAGTTGGACAAGGTGGATAAAAAAAAACAACCCATGAAGCAAAAATAATACAGAAAACTACAGATGGGATGTCCTGAGTGATCAATATTCTAGCTCTTGGACACTATTTCTAATTGATCCCAGTGGTTACATGTTGACTCAAGGGAGGAGTTCGTGGTCAAAGTTCAAGCGGGCAGCACGGTCAGAGAGTAGAGGATTTACCTGCTGTGGGAAGGGAAGCACAGGAGGCTGAATGACTGAGCTGTGTAAAGGGGGGGGACTGAATTGCCTTTTGATTGTGTGCATCAGTTATTTATTACACCTTTCTTCCCCCTTTTTTTTTTTCCAGCCAGCTTGCCGTTTGTAGTGGTCCATTTCACAATAGCCATTAAGCACAGCAATAATGGACTCAGTGTTTATGACATCAAGCAGTCGGATAGAAACAGGAGGAAATAACGCGGCTGTTATTTTCCTCTCTTTTTTACAATGACGCAATAATGAATTGGAATTATTGAAGACGACTCTGAACCTGTCTTGCATTTGTAACTAAATTCTTAAAAAAGCTGATCGGGAGCAGCAGCTTTTGTATTTGTAATCTTCCAGATCATTGGCGATCTCTTGCTCGGATTTGTTAGTATTAAACAGAACATTTTATTTTCGACTTTTATCTTAGCTAGTTGTGTTGCACAGCAGAGACAATAAACATGCAGACGTGCTTCGACGAGGATAAGTCATTTAAAAAAAAGGAAGAAAAAAATTCAACATCAACGGCACACATTTGTAAGCCTGTTATCTGTCATGTGTCTGCGCGCGTTTGCAAATGAAAGCAGGGTCCGTTGTGCCGTGAGTGAATGCACAACGCTTTGTTATTAGTTCCAGAAAACGGAGTCCATTCACTACGTCTGCGGCTCTCTGCAGGCCGATGATGTAAGCATCCTTGAATAGCTCGAGCAGAATCGTTTGCCCGGGATGGGAAGGCTGCGCGAATCATTCAGGCATCGGCCGGAAAAAAACGGATAGGGACTTACTCGGGCCGTCTGAAGGTTTCCGTGTTTGTAAGCAAGGCTGGAAAGTGATGCCAAAGGAATGCAAGCGGGATAAACCTCACCCATGGTCTCCGTCCCCCCCTCCTGCAGGTCTTCACTACTGGCTGTTGAGCAGAAGGTACGGGTGGGCCACACCCACCGGCACAGGTAAACACAGCTCTGGCACGTCAGGGGAACTTTTGGGAAACCCCGTGGAAGCATCCAGGCCGGATTCTGCCGCTTTAGCGGGAGAACCGTCAGCCCTTTAAGCCGGAGTGCACTTAAGGCCTGCCTGCTTTACTTTTGAAGAATTCCGAAAGCCGCCGGTCTTCATGTCCTCGTGGGTTTTGGTTGGACTTTATCCGTGCTAACAATCATCTACACATAGAAACTGGTGTTTTCTGTTTGTCTGTTTTTATATAACCGAGATCGCCGTGTTTCAACTTGTTAACCAGGAACACTTGGACCTCACAGGGCTTTTGCTGAAAGCACGGGTTGCATTATTGACTATCGCTCAGCTCCATATTTCTAATGTTTTTTTTAGCTAGATAGACCCTACATTTTTCTTATCTTCCCTTTTTTTGCAATCCTCAACTTTCTTTTACATTTTCAAATCTGATCAGGGTGGAATATTTATGACTTGTACGGGATTCTCATGTGTGCGCTTTTAATTTTGATATAAAATTGAAAAAGAGAATATTTTAACCGTAGTCATATTTGAGTGAATCGCAGCACAGTCTAATGTGTCTCTAGATACTTTCATACTAAAGAATCGCTTCCTGTGATCACATATATTCATGAGATCTTTTGTCAGCTGCCTCTGAAGTCTACTTTGTCACTGTTCCCTATTTATATGAGGAATTTCTGCCTCAAACTGAAAAGTAATTTCCTCCCATGTCGTTGAAGTCTTAGAGAGACATCTTTTTTCTGGTTATGTCAACCCGAGGGAACCGGGACCTTTCTGTTTGGAATTCGAATGTCCCCCCCTGTATCTGCGTGTGTTCTCTCCGGATTGTCTGGCTTCCTCCCACCAACCAAAAAGCGGCATGTTAGGTTAACTGGACGCTCCAAATGGCCCCTGAAGTGAGTGCGGGTGGTTGTTTGTCTCTGTGTGGCCCCCTGATGGGCCTGCGATGGACTGGTGACACGTCTGGGGTGGTGGCCCCGCCTTCCAGCCCCCCCCTCCCCCCGCAACCCTGCTGGGAATAAGCTGCATAGAAGATGGATGGGTTGTGTAGAGCACTAATGGATAGTTGGAATATGGGATAAATCATTTAGTATAATCACTTTTTAACCATAGTTTTTAGGAATATGGATGACCAGAATCCCAACCGGTGACAAAATGTTAAAGTCTTCACCATTCAAAACAGCTTGGACCTCAGAATCTTCATTGTGGTTGAATCAAGAGTTATATTGTGGATTTGTTGGACTTTTTCTCAGCCAGTGTATTATTTTGCTGCAGCACCAGGTAATGGTGAGAGAGGGAGAAGTAGATGGTGTAATCCCGTGCTTTGGTGGTTGGATTAAAATCCCGGGTCCTGAGATGGGGGAGGGGTTGACCGGCCGGTTGGTTTAAGGATGGGCCGGAGGGAGTGGATTAAAGCTACGGATCTGTTCCTTGCACAGCTGTGCCGCTGTGGGCGGGGCCTGGAGGATGCTGAAGGGGAGGAGCCCGATTTAAATTCTTCATTTTGTTCCTCTTGTTTTGGGCCTCATTTTAGTTTAATTCGATTCAGAGGAAGGAGAAACCGACTCTGACGCCATGCAGTGGTGCCCAGTTATCGCCGTCCAATGAGCCCAGTTACTTTGCTCAAACTTTAAACTAAATTATCATGGGAAAAAATGCCAAACGATAGCCGGCTCAAAGCTGTTCTGAGTACAAACTGATCTCCCCTCCTTCGTCTGAGTGCTTTTTAAGCTTTTATGAGTATTTTTCTGCATAGGGTTTTACATATTTATTTGAAACTCTGCGGCACTGCGAGAGAAATATTTGTTTAGATTCGGTTTCACTCAGGCAGAAAGTAGCTTAGCCAGAAATGTTTGAGCTCCGCCTTGGAGCCTTTTAAACGTCAGCCCCTCAAAACGGGAATAATCCTGTCAGCGCCTCAAGTCTGCCGACTGAACGAGAAGGAGAGGTGTTACATTTCCCATTTACTGAGCAAAAAAAGGGAGGACTCCCAGTAGACCGAGGCTCTTGGCTCAGGAAAATCTATCTGACGACCATTAAGGGAATACATCCGAACACAATCTGCACGCGCTGAGAGTTTTGTTGACATTGCAGCAGTGGCGGGAAGCCCAAACCTTTTTTTTTTTTTCTTTTTTTTTTGGGTGGAATTTGTATGAATGAGAGACAGAAAGGAAGGAGAATGAAGGGCCAGGCCCCCCTTCAGTAACCCTTATGTAAGGTTACTTACATAATGACACATTCAGCCAGTGTGTGTGTGTGTGTGTGTGTTGTGTGTGTGTGAGTGTCTAGACGAGAGGGGTTGCTTGACTTGGAGTGGGGCGATACAAGAGGAGGGGTACTTAAGCAAGCCCAGCAGGAAAAGGATTGTGGGATTATATGTGTGTGTGTCTGTGTGATCCAACAAAAAAAAAAAAAAAAAAAAAAGAGGTGGGGGCAAGTATGGGAAGGTATTAAAGTCAGAGTGGAGGGAGGGGACCAACAAGCACTGACATCGTGTCCACATTTGTGTACGCGATCCAGCTCTCTACTTTTTCTCTGTCTCTTTTCACGGCTGTCCGTCCAAACTTATCCATACAGCTTTTTTTTTGTGCCTTTTTCCCACCTTCCCATCACTCCCTTTTCTCCACTCCTCATTTAACATCCCCAGCTCTTAATCCCACCCTTTTGTCACAGCCGTTGTGTCTTTTTCTGCTCGCGATCCCCCCGCTTTCTCCTCAGCACTCTTGTGTTTTGTGCTCTTTTTTTCCCTTTTGGGGTCGTTTAGAGAGTCGGCAGAAGTTCGAGAGGACGAAGACGTAGTTTCTGCTGCCGGTGGCTGACTAGTGGTCACCCCTGTAGCGTACTTGTGGCGGACGGAGGGACGAGGAGCTTTGTGATGGTCACAACAATGGACGATCCCTGTTCAAATGGGCTGCAGGAGGCGGAGCAGGAGGTGATGCCTTCGGGACAGCCGGGTGTGGAGGGACCCCCCGCGGTGCAGTCCTCCCAGGGAGCAGATACATCTGGAGGTGAGGAAATGAGGAAGAGGAGGAGGAGGAGGGTTGGCACACACTGAGAAACCCTATAGCTTTTGTTTGTTTGTTTGAGCTGGACACTTCACAGGTCAATTCTAGCTTCCCTGAGTCACATCCACTTTCTGTCCTAAGTCAGGGAATAACTTTGTAACCATAATATTGAATCATTTCTCTCCATGAAATATTGCAGCATGCCAAACTGTAATCCAGTAAAGAACTAGTTGACTAACACTTACTCATGACTTTCTACAAGCTGACCGGCATGACTACTTTATTACGTCATTCATCAAGTGGTTTGGAGTTCAATGTTCTTCATGCAATGTTTTTTTTCTTTTTTTCTGATATCATTTAAGTGTTAATCTTTTCACAATTTAACTGGCCTCTGTAATAACCAATGACACGATTAAATAACAGGAGCTACAGTAACTGTGCAGGTACACTATACCGAATGGGAGCTTCTATGCACAAGTGGCTATTTTAAAGGCATAATTACACAGTTGATGGGGGATATTAAGAGAACTAGACAGCCAAAACCACATCTCCCCCATATTACATAACCAGTGTAAATATTCTTGCTTTTAACCAATTTATTATTCATGAAACACCAAGTTTTTTTGCTTTCTCTCGGTGTATCCTAGTTCTGAGACTGTGCTTTAGGGAAGTTTTAGCTGTCAGAATCACCTGGTTTTCATTTCTTTGCCGGCTCTGTGAATAAATACAATTCGGGGTATTTTGTTATGAGCAAGGTGTTGGTCCAAAGAAGCATTTCCAGGCTTGAATTTTGCATCCTACGAAGCAGTAACGCAGCACGTGATGAAGTTGTTGCGTCAGGTGGCCGGTTCAGTGCACGGCCAGCTGTTTGACAGACAGAGAAACTCAGAGAAAACAGAGTAGAGGAAGCCCTTAGAAGCAGGTAATTCATTATGTGGGTGACGGGTGTCATGGATCACCCATTGAAACCGTGTAGTTTTATCATTTTTCGCCTTTCACTGGAGCATGAGCGTTTTTTTGGGTGGCCGTATCTTCACGGCATATTTTTGTGAGATCTTAGATGTTGCCGTTGGAGGCTTTATCTGATCTCAGGTCTCTTACTGGAAAGTGAGCTTTGCAATTGGCAGTCGGGTTGAGTAACATACACAAGCCATGTGGGGATTGAGCAAACAGTTCTGTGGTCAAGGACCTGATGACGGTGATCTCGGAGGGTAAAGGTCAAGATGGAGAGCGGAGAAAATCGTTACACAGCAGGAAGGATCTGTGTGTGTTTTGTGCTTAATGTGTTCAGTTTTTTTTTTCATCTGAGATTCTTCTTCGATGCACGTAGGTAAGAAATAAGTGTGGAGGTGTTTATTTTCTCTTTTATATGTCTTTCACAAAGACACACACACACAAAAAGAGCAAAACAGCATGTTAGTCTTACTGGAGTAGGAGATTTGAAGCCTGGAAGCGGTTGTTGTGGGGTTTGAACCACAACTGACTGCATGATCCTGAATCATCACAGAGCATCAGCGCTTGTTTATTGTTTTGCGTGTGCTTGTGTGGGGTTGTAACGGCAATTACAGCGTGTGTGGTCCCAACGGGAGCTAAATAACCCCGTTCCTACCTAACAGCCGGGTATCCAAACCGAGTTTTAGATCAGCCTTCTTACGTTGGCGCGCGGCAATCACATAAAGCTTCACCGTCGTCTTACAGTCTGCTGCACAGTCTTGATGAAATAATAGAATTATACACAGGATTTCATCATTTATATTTCTACGGTTGCAGTTTGGCTCACGCAGCTTCTTTCCTGAAGATGGAGTGAAAGGAGAGACTATGACAGAGGATGACTTTGTGTTAAAAGAGTAATAGAGGGTTGGTAGAGCAAAACACGGAGAAATTATAGTGAGTCAACTGTTTACAAGTGCTGACAGGGCATACTTATTACCCCCATAAGTGTATAATGACACGGAGACACATGCTGTCACGTTCCCAAGGGCTTTAAGTGCCTTAGATGGGCTTACGTGGGCTTTGAGACCCTGGCATTAGGGCATTAGCTGGCTCATACCAACAGTCCGCACCTCTTTCTTAGTTTGTGTCAACGCGATCCAAGATTTTTAATTTTTTTTTGTCTGCTAACTTACAGCTTTTGAATCTCATATTTTCTCTAAGCCTCGCCATAACTGAACTGTTTTAAATTCTTGAGGCTACGTCGGGGTCCACAGCTGTGCTCACAGAGTGCGGTGGGAAATTACATTTGGCCGTGCTTGGTGGGGCTCCTCTCGTGCAGAACCTCAGATATGTCTGATCAAAAATCTCCGGTTCTGGTTTGCAAACCCCCGCTCAATCTGAAAACTTTTGGCTATGTCACCTGTGGGCCGCGCGTATCTCCTCATCTGCTGGAAAACCTGCACTGATGTCGCTCCAGTGACTTTTGGTGCACTGAAAAAGACAGTAGCTCACTTTAACAAGAAATCCCAAGAATAAATAAGTGCATCAAATACACACAAAATAATTGGAATTGTTGGGTTTCTGTAGTTAACTTAAGAGTAGGGTCTGACCTGCTCTGTTTGGAAAGCGCTGTGAGACAACTGTTGTTGTGATGTGGCGCTATATAAATAAAATTGAATTGAATTGAATTGAAAACTTTCCTCTGTCCCCCTCCCCTGTATTTGCAGCCATGCAGCAGGCGACGGACGACCTGGGTGAGCGGCCCGCCTCCACGGGAGCCAAGGACATCGACCTGCTCTTCCTACGCGGCATCATGGAAAGCCCCACGGTACGCTGCTCCGCCAAGGAAGCACACACACACACACACACACACACACACACACACACACACACACACACACACTAACGGGGCGGGCCGAGTGGACCAACCTGCTGCGGTACGGCCGGGCTTTGGCCCACACAGCAGCAGGAGAAGAAGAACTCCCGCCCAACCGTGCATCTCCGGTTGCAAAAACGCTGGGTTTTTAACACGCACGGCTGGCGTGTGAAACGTGGTGTGCCGGCAGGATGCTCAGCCAGAGGGACAGCTGCGCGGGGGCTCCTGCCAGACAGCCTGTTGTCATTTTCCACCGCTCCACTGCGCTCCCTGCAGGGCCTGAACTTGCAGAAGCACAAGGTTTTCGTTTCTTTTCTCTTTCTCTCGCTGTAACACAAAGCAGACAGCGGCTTCTTTCCCGCTCAAAAAAAAACCCCGCGCAAGAATCCGAAGTCATTCAAACAGCTGCCACTTTTCCTGCCTCCGTTAGACTAACTTTTTTTTTTCCCCCTTTTGTCTTTCCAGGCTACCGAGCAGCTGGAGGAGGTGAAGCTGGAGGCGGTGCAGGACAACAACGTGGAGCTGGTGACGGAGATCCTGGGCGACATCAGCGGCCTGAAGGTGAAGGACGACAGCGCGGCCGAGCTGTCCCGCATCCTGCTGGAGCCGCACTTCCAGGTGAGACGAAACCGAAACCCGGTCAGGGGGAGACGGACGCCATCCCACAACCAACGTCTGTTCTGATTCGGTAACCGTTAAACGGCCTTTAGAGTAAGCATGCTAAATGGCTGGCTACCATGCAAACACATTGCAGTCATTTTAAACCAATACTTTACAATTGCACCAAATAGGACGTAAATAAATAAACATTTCCTGTCTTGCTAATGACAATAATTAAACTAATACCCATTCCACTTTTTCCAGTCCAAAGCTGGTGACGCTTTTGTGTGATATGAGATGAAATATTAAGTAATAATATCACTCCAGACTAGTTTAGATACTTTTGTTTTTGTATAAGTTTCCCGTATGCCGAACATTAAGGTGGACTTCCAGTCAAAGCCCACATTTGATGTTTTGAATCCCGTTTTAGTGCATTAGTAGAACACTAACCTCCATCCTGGGACGCACCGGAGGCTTAGCGCAGACTGGACCAATAGAAATTATTTTCCTGATCCCCACGCAGCCAATCCCGGCCCTTTGTGCTGTAAGCCGAAAGATAAGACCCTGCTGACCTACTGAGGAGGACAGAGGGAGAGGCTGGCTAGGTAGAAAAGGAAAACAGATATTACATCATGCACTGGGCATATGACTCTTACAGTCTTACTTTCGTTGGAAGTTAGCTGATGTGGAGGATCGCGCATGATTTCCGTCCATGTTTTTCTCTTCAGTCTACTTCTGCATGGAAATATTTTCTCTTTAGTAACTTTGCTTTAAGTGAGACTGGAAAACAGCAGCGTCTTCAGACATTTGGCTCTTCCAGACCCCGACCAAAGCAGCAAAATTTCAGAGTGAAATGAACGTAGGAGGGGTGATTTTTCTAAATGTTTTATCTTTAGCATTGAGACAAAGTTTTTTCTTTTGCGCTTATAGCTTTAAATCTCCTTTTTCAAATCTCCAAGTCTCTTTTGGAGGCTCACGACATGGTGGCGTCCAAATGCTATGAGGTGCCCCCCCCGGCCGAGACGGCCAACGACGCGGCGGTGAACAACGCCCTGATGCAGGCCGACGCCGTGCGCATGATCGGCATCCGGAAGAAGGCCGGAGAGCCCCTGGTGAGCAGAGGCCGAGTCCCCGAGAGGCTCCCGGGTGATGACCGGTGGGGGGCGCTCTATACAGAGGGTAAAGGGGGGTTCCCGCGTTCTATTTTCCAGGGCGTCACCTTCCGCGTGGAGAAAGAGGACCTGGTCATCGCCCGGATCCTGCACGGCGGCATGATCGACCGGCAGGGCCTGCTCCACGTGGGCGACATCATCAAGGAAGTCAACGGGAAGGACGTGGGCAACAACCCCACCGAGCTGCAGGAGATGCTGAAGGACTGCAGCGGGGGTATCACGCTCAAGATCCTGCCCAGCTACAGGGACGCGCCCGCCCCCCCGCAGGCGAGGACACGCAGACACCAAACCCCCCCGACTCAGGCGGGACTGGCCACAGTAGAAACTCTACATACAAATTTAATATTCAAATATTCCCATAGGAATACACAGTGATTCGTACAATTCGTTCCACAGCCCAAAAACCTGCAATAACGCCTTAATAATTACTGCAGATAATTACACATAGCAATAAAACAAATGTGTTATATAAGATAGATATAAAAAGAAACAATTTCTAAAGAAATAATCAATAAAAAGGGTTTTTTATTGGCGCTCTACCTTAGAGACTAGTTAACAAAGGTAGAGGTGGAGACTGAGATACAGAACGTAACTTACTCCAGCTTTCCCTATGTGAACTTTAAACTAACTTAGCTTATTTATTTTGATTTAATTTCTATATTTTATCTATTTTTTCTATGATTTAGACGTCATAACTCATATTTTGGAAATGTACAAAGGGTGTCAAGTCGAATATTTGATCGAATTTCAATTCGGAAGTTGGAAAATTCTTATGTTTAGGCGATCGTTAGTAGAGGTTCTGCTGTAGTAGGTTTTCTACTCACGGTAGTGGTGACAGATGCCGGGTTGGTGGCCAGACGGGAGATCTGGCCCTCCCACAACCCCCCCTGTGTATGAATGGGAACCATGGAAGCCCTATTAATAACACTCCACGTGCTTTCTAGGTCAGAACCGCTCGGCCTGTCTCACGAACTCACTCCAGATGCAAACATACTCACCTCCTGTCGCGATGCTAACCCTAACCCTCGCATGGAAAGCACAGGAAGTAATGATTTTTCTCATGAGTGGGCCGGTGGAGAATCCCGAGGATACTTCACATCTAGACAGACGCGAAGCTAAAAATGCTGGAATTGCATGAAAGGTGGTAAAAGGCAAAAATCAATGAGAACCAAATCCCATCGTGCTCCGTGGCTCAGAGCCCTACGGCGCCACACGCTTTACTGCCTTGTTTTATTGCTTCCTCTGGCTGTTTGTTTAATCTAATGCTTCAGTCGGAAGCACTGTTGTATTTTTTTTTATTACTGGTCACCTCAGCGGGTTTATTCTTGAAAATTGAAAAAAAGGTTTGCGGTTTTGGAACTGAAATGAACAACATACTGATCTCAGGCGTCCGTGTCCGATCACCTCAGGTGTACGTGAGGCCGTATTTCGACTACGACCCGGCCAACGACAACCTGATCCCCTGTCGAGAGGCGGGAATGGCCTTCAAGAGGGGCGACATCCTCCAGATTGTCAACCGCGAGGATCCCAATTGGTGGCAGGTGAGCCGTCCTCCGTTCGTCTGATTTTTTTTTTTTTAGACGGAGGGGCCAAAAATGTTTGAAAACGTGGGTTCTCCGTTCTAGGCGTGCCAGGTCGTGGGCAGCGCCACCGGACTCATACCCAGTCAGTTCTTGGAGGAGAAGAGGAAAGCGTTCGTCCCCAGAGACTTGGATGGATCGGGTAGGCCTATAAATGCCCTCCTTTAGGGTTTGTGATGCGTTGGAGGTCCATCAGGTTTTCACTGCCCCCAGCAGGCCGAACGTTGCCAACATGTCTGCCGTCTCTTTCTCAGGAATACTTTGTGGCACCATAGCTGGAAAAAAGAAGAAGAAGATGATGTATCTTACAGCTAAGAACGCAGGTCAGAAAGCTTTTTACCGAATCTCAGCTTTTATCTTCCTCTTTTTTTCTTTTTACCTTCAACTGACTCAGTTAAAATGCGTTTCAACAGAGTTCGACAGACACGAGCTGCAGATATACGAGGAAGTAGCGAAAGTCCCTCCGTTCCAGAGGAAGACCCTGGTTCTGATTGGTGCTCAGGGGGTGGGCCGTCGCAGTCTCAAGAACCGGTTGATGGTTCTCCACCCCACCCGCTTTGGCACCACTATACCATGTAGGCCGTCTTTTGATTTAGTCTGGGGAAAAAATAAAATCTAGAAATGGCGTCCGCCCGGCGAATGCCAGCCAAGCGTGACGGGCTCCTGTCCTCCGTCAGACACCACGCGGCGGCCCCGGGACGAGGAGCTGGACGGCAACACCTACCACTTCACCTCCCGGACGGAGATGGAGGCGGACGTGAAGGCCGGCCGCTTCCTGGAGCACGGCGAGTACGATGGCAACCTCTACGGCACCAAGATCGACTCCATCCACGAGGTGGTGGCGGCCGGGCGCACCTGCATCCTGGACGTCAATCCGCAGGTACGGAAACGGCCGGGAGGTCAGGAGCTGGCGGTCTGCGGCCGTAGCCTAGGGCTATAACGTTGTAACGTGAGCTTCCCGTCTCCCTCCAGGCGCTGAAGGTGCTGAAAACAGCCGAGTTCATGCCCTTCGTGGTGTTCATCGCGGCGCCGGACTTCGACACTCTCAAGGGCATGCACAAAGCCGTGGTGGACGCCGGCCTGACGACCAAGCAGCTCACGGTAAGCACTGGTCACCTGTCACCAGCAGAAGCCACTGGGCACCTGTCACTAGTCACTGGGAACCGGTCACCAGTCACTGGGAACTGGTCACCAGCCACTGGGCACCGGTCACTGGGCACCCGTAAGCAGTCACTGGGCACCGGTCACTGGGAACTGGTCAACACTCGCTGGGCACCTGTCACCCAGCAGCAGTCACCGGTCAACAGTCACCGGTCACCCAGCACCAGTCACTGGGCACCGGCCACCATGCACCAGTCACTGGGCTGCGGTCACCAATCACTGGCCAGCACCCACTGGGCACCGGTCACCAGTCACTGGCCAGCACCCACTGGGTACCGGTCACCCGGCAGCGGTCACTTGGCAGCGGTCACCGCCCCCCGGCGGCGCTATAGCCCCCAGAACTGACCGTCTCCTTTTTCTCATCCCCGGCTAAAGGACGTGGACCTCAGGAAGACGGTGGACGAGAGCGCCAGGATCCAGAGGGCCTACAACCACTACTTCGACCTGACCATCGCCAACGACAACCTGGACAGGGCCTTCGAGACGCTGCAGGCGGCCGTGGACAAACTGTGCGGCGAGCCCCAGTGGGTCCCGGTCAACTGGGTGTACTGAGCGCTGCGCCGGGGTCCCGGGCGATTCTGACCACAGAGGCCAAAGACGAGGAGCATGGGGCAGAGATGCTGCCGAGAAAAATGACAACTACAACAACAACAAAAAGAAATCTGATTGCTCTTTCTCCTCTTGGGCTTGCACACTGTGCAACTTTTTTTCTACTCAAAGGGAAAGAGTGATTATTTATTTTCTAACTTTTTATCAAAGATCTTTCTATTCAGCGTTGGGATATCGCGGAGGAACGAAACTAAAACATAAATAGATGTACTCTGGCCATGTTTCTTGAATTAATGTTGTAGTGATGTCTTCTTTTTTTGTTTTCTATTTTGTCGTGGTTCCATTTTAAGTCCCTGACGAGGACTGGTGGTAACAGCCGACGGATCCATGCCACGTCTGAGCAGCCCATGTTTCATCTTCATCTCCATTCCACTCAATCCCTAAATGTTTTAAGCGTAGCTGGCCCTTTACTTGTCTACTGCACCCCCCTGCTGGAGCAACCGGGCGGTGATTAAGACGACTCCGGAGCCATGGAAAGAAAACGATTTTGTAACGGACCTGTCAATGATTTCACCCCTTAATTTTGTCCAATTTTGTTTTACAAATTATTATTTTATTTTTTTTAATGCTGTGGTGATTTAGAGTCTAGGGTTGGTCACATGATCATCGTGTTTGTCCGCAGTGTGACTGTCACAACGCGATTTTGACATTTTTTTTATCGTCCTCATGAACCAGCTTGTCGATGTTTGATTTTCGTGAACGTGGCACAAACCTCACTCTCTCCTTAATGGTCCTTTTGTTGATTGTGGTAGCATGCCAAAGCCCTACACTGAATTCCAAATACAGTTAGAAAACCTCACTTCCTAAATCTGAACGAAAGTCACGCCACTCTAAATGGTACACGCATCCCACAAAGCCAAACAGTCAAACTGTGGCATCGCTGTGTGTTCTTTGTTTCGTCTTTCTTCCGAAAGAAAAAAGGATGGGGAGAAAACAAGGGGGTGGATTTTTGATTCCTTTCCTTTGCAAATCATCCGGAATCTGTAGCTTACTAGCCTTTCTTTTCTATGAGGGGAAAAAAATGACTATTAGGTTGCCTTGTATGGATATTCTTTGCAAAATGTGTATTATTTCATAAACCCGAGATCAGTCTAAGCCAGCCATACTGCCTGTTGAAGTGTTTTCACATCAACCCCATGTCAACATGTTTGTTTGAAATTTTATTAGTAAAGTTCTAATGAATAAAGGTTAAGAAATCTCTGGATCTTTTCTGTTAAATCATTTACACCTCATGGAGACTTTCCTGAACCTTAGTTAAGCCTCATTTGAGGGTTAAGGGGTATTCGTACACGTTAACGTTCATTTTCAAATTTTAGTTGTGACTTGCTGTTGAGGATCTGATTTGGTTTGAATGAAGTGGTCAGTCCTAAGAGGGTTTTATGAATGCAGAAGAATGGCCGGAGACATATCTGAAGTCAAATGAATAAAAACGGACCCCTTCTACTGGTGGAATTAGTTAATCTGAGAAGGCTTTTGTCAAGGACATCTATGATGGGATCTATGATGATGAAGACAAAAGATGAAGTTGCTTCTATTAAGCGCTAAGTTAAATTATTTCTGTATCTGATGTGATGCTTTAGAGCAGGAAAAAAAAAAGTGGTGAACCCAGGTTCATCACCTATATAAAAAAACTAAACATGGCCATGATATTGTTCTTAAATCACCTGAATTGCCCACAGCCCAAAAAGGCAACAGGCTCAGTTCAATCAGAGGTGCCAGCTTGGTTTGATTTTTAACAGTTTGTTTTAAAAATCCTTAGTTTCCAGATGTAAACTTTATAAATGACCAACTCCGGCCCTCTGCACCATCCCTTACCACCGGACATTTGGTGTAGGCTCCCTTCTTCTGGACAGGAGCTCGTCCGGATTGAGAGCAGCGTTTTACGTATTCAAACAACACATCAGCCATACATTTTAAACATTTTTATTTATTAACGCAACTTACAGTCAAGCCAGAGAGTGAACTATATTAAGTGATACGTATTCACATTATGTCCTAACAGGGTCTACAGCATATCTTGTGTTCTGTAAGCATAATTGTTACCAAGAAACCAAAAAAAACAAAAAAACAAAAAACAAACGTAAAACAGAAATCAAAGCTTACAGCTTTACAACAAGAACAAGGAGCTTAGCAGTGGATGTGAACAAATTAATTCAGCGACATGAAGACCCTCACCAGAACAGGAATGACAACAAATTCAGTTTTGGCATGTTGTGGTTTAAACAAAGGAGGAGAGAAGAGAAAGAATCATCGTTTTTTTAAAAATGTAAAACTCAAAAGATGAGCTCAGAATGACACAAATGATGGGAGGTTTGAATTCACACGGCTCTGCAGGACTGCCTTTGCCAAGAGACTTTGGTCACTTTGCTTCTCCATGGCTTATGATGCAAAAGTAGAAAGGATAAAGAAGAATACAGAGAGTACAAAGAGCGGAGAGGGGGGAGGCTGGAGAGTCCTGGGAGCGATTGTACAAAAGGAAAGAGGTGGGAGTTAATTTTCCATCTTCAAACAGTCCACAGATGATTGTCCGTCTTCCTTAAATGAAACAGAAAAGCTTTGCGGTCGACTACAACTCCAGGACAGACTCTACATTCAGAAGAGGTAGATAACATGGCGACGACACGGCGTGGCGCTGTAGAGCTTTGTGTCTGCGCGGGAATCGAGCTGTCAAGTCTTTGAAATTGTAGTGCATAATTTCTTCAACTTTTAAGGCCAAATAGGAACTTCGGTTATAGCTCGACGGCTACGTTAAGACAAAGGGTTAGCGGAGGGGTCGGGGTTGGGGGTGGGGGGGTTTGGGACAGGGTGGGCAGACCACAGAAACAGCCCTTTCACCGCAATACCTGAGTCCACAGTCGCTTTATGACACAGACGCTTGGTGCACATCGACTCGTTGTCAAACCAAATCAGTTTTGGCTACACACACACACACACGGGGAATAGGCAAAAAAAAAAGAAGACACACAAGAATATAAATATACGTCAGCTGAGGAACATTTGCATGACATTTGTGTGTTAATTGCATAAATGAGACATTGTCATTTGGCCACGAGGTGTATGTTACATATTACAATTTTACGGGGTGAAGTGGTCGCGGCACGCGTGCAGCCCATTGTGACATTCAAACCTCCCCTCATGGGAAAATCAAATTATTTTACAATATGAAGTACATTAAAGAGGAAAAAAAAAAAAGGTCAATGCAGCATATATCAGGCTTATGAGGTACTTCATGAATATATATATGTATATAGATATATCAACCTTTTAGAAAAGCTTTTCAAAGTCATATTATTCCTTATAATTCCTATTGATAGCATAAAATACCTCGTCAGTTTTTTTTTTCAACTTTCTGCCCCATCTCATATGGGCACGTTTTTTTTTTTCTTTATGAGACTGCTTTGAAAGTGCAAAACACAAATACTGATCGTTCTATGCAGCATGTACACTCGAGGTTGCATGATAATTAAAAGCAGGTAACTTTTCTTTTTCTTTATGTGGCATGGCAGATTTTGTACAGCCGTTAAACTGAAGGAGGGCTTGTGGAAACCCGTCGGCTGGCGAATGGAGAGGAGAAACACGACAAAAAGGCACACACACATGCTGGATGTTACCGCTTTGGGCTAAATCTGGACTTTACTGACACACACTGCCGCATGTACCTTTAGTCGAACGGTTAGATACACCGAAAAGCAAGTTCAAACGTCTATTCCCTTTGTTTCTCGTTACATGTAAACCTACATCTTTGACCATTGGCTGAAATGGCGGCGAGGTGAGTCGTGTACTTTGGGTTGAAGAAAGATGCATTTGATCATGTGGTGTAGCGACAAATCCACAAGAATCCAAACTGCTTCGACATTCTGGTCAAACTAAAAAAAGTGAAAAGCTGGCTCTAAGTCAAACCACGAAGCCGTTCGCAATCTCAGCTAAGAGTCTAACGCCTCCATCGGCCCAAACTCTCTGCCCGTACGTCAACTTGACTTGCTCTGAACGCACCATCCCATTATCCCTCCCCGTCATTAGAGACATTCCATACGATCATCAAGCGAATTGCAATTTTACGATGGCACTTTTTAAAGAAAAGATCCAGTCATGATCGCATCTTAAAAAGGAGGAAAAAAATAAATAATCCGGTACGAGTGCTGGATGGTTTGGTCACTGTTGCTGCCTCCTTTTGAAAAAAGTACTTGTATGAAACAGCAACACTCCCAGTTCTGAAAAGTTGGTCCCCTAAAAGTGTAATAAACCACATCAATCAGCCTGTTTTCCATTTTACAAAAAAAAAAAAAAACTGCCGTCTTCTGATATCGTCTTGTACTGATTTGGTCACAAAAATATTTTACTTTGTTACCATTCTTATAAATTAGGGAAAATATTAGCTAGCACCTGACCTTTCTCAGAGGTAGTATTTTCCAAGTCGGTAAATGAAATTGCCAAGTCATTCTCCTGTCAAAAATAATACGGGTTTAGCGTGATTACATTAGTTTGATGGCATTGGTGTGAAGCTCTGTAACAGATCTCAGCAAAGAGCCCATTAGCTTCATCCTGAAGCCTAACTCCGTCCTCATGAATGCCTTCTTTAAAAGTTTCACACTGATTTCCACTGGCATGACCTGACGAATCACAGACCAAAGAGGAGTTGAGGACACTACGACTTTCAGTTTGTGGCGACTCAATGAAAAACAGTGTGCCGTATGTAACCTTTACCAACTTGTGGCCCAACATGCCACCCCGAAGAGGCTAAATCATTAGCATTCATCCTCTTGGGATCACAAGAATGGCTAAGAAATGATGGGCATTAGTCGCTGGGATATTGGGGCCTGAGACCAGATGGGGGCCCTTCTGTAAACTATCCAATTTGAAGTTGGATTCCACAATTGAGACTTGTGGCAAAAACCAATAATATCAGCAAACTTAAACTTGTGTGAACAGGACTCTGGATGGGTGGCCAAAAATACCAGCTGGAAACTTCCACCTGGTAAATAAGCTGTTTAACAATCCCGAAAGAAAAAAAGAAAAGAAACAAAAAAAAAACCTCGACAAAGGTTTTAGAAAGACGACCGTGAAAGAAGACACCTCTTTTCTTTCTATGCGACTGCTCGGGGAATTCTTTCCAGGACAGCTCTGCGAGGGCCGGGCAGGAATCAGACTGAGGGCTGAAGCACGAGCCAAAACTCAAAGATCAAACACCTAAGAAAACCCTCACATTCATATATATATATAAAAGCATATATATGTATATGTACACTCGCACAAACACACACCGCTTATCGGTTACAGCACCTTACACTTAGAGCCAAAGCAGAAAAGATGACTACTCTTTACACCAGTGTGAAATGTTCAGCTCCTAAACAGGACTTAAGTCAACGAGAGGATCAGCAATATTAGCTGTGATGTCAAAATCATGGATTATCAAATATAAATAACAAAAAAAGGAGGGGGGGATTGAAGAGCTGTACCTAAGACGCAAAGCTGAGTGTAAATGCGCTAAATAACTACCTTTAACAACATATCAAACCACGTAGACTAATACATTCATTATACTGTGAAGCTGGAAAAATAGGCTCTATTCTACAACAAATTCTTTTACATAAGCAACAAGTTTCTCTACGAGATAAGTAGCAAGGAAAAAGACATGGTTATACAAAGGCTAACGGTTTGGAATAAGTTCATGTAGTTGCTGTAGCTTCATTTAAAATCATTATTCCAAGACCAGTGAAAAAAAAATATATATATACATATATAGGCAGGCTGATTTCTATACTTGAAATTGATCTCAAACTCTTTTACCCAAATATGTTGAATGCAGGAAAACCTGCTGGTTAATTTTTAAAAAAGAAAAAAGAATGAAGTTATCGGCTTAACTTTTGATATGCCTTTTAGTTTAAAAAAAGAAAATAAAAAAAACTCCTTGAGCCTGCCATGTCCAGGTTCTGGACGCTTGAAACGACAAATGAAACATAGCCAAACTGAGAATAATGTGCTAATTTTTCTGAACGTCTATACGGAGAAAAAAAACATTAAACCCCCCCGAAAGTCTTTTGGGTTTCCCCTTAAGGTGTGCGACGCTTCCCCTGTCCAGTGGTGCCACATTCATCCAGGCCGAGGGGCATTTGTTGCTCTTACAAACATTCCTGACTGGACTCATTTTTTTTTTAGAAAGGACAAGAAGCCTCTCTTGCGTCTTGATATGTATAGTCTACGCTGACCTTTAGAATAAAAGGAGGCCTTACTCGACGTAGGGTCCGACATGCACACCGCAGCACCGGGACAGGAACCGGGTCAAAGAGCTTCAGACAGCTCGCCCTCACACTGCACTCTGACATCCAACAAGCGGCTCCTTTCAACACCTGCCAGTCTGATTTGCATAAAGCTTTTCTTTTTTTTATTTAAGCAACGTCGCTGTACAAAGGCTATCCACCCAAAGAACTAAATAGGAATTGTCACTCTTTCATTACTGTTTTAAAGGCATTAGGTTGTTTTGGGAAAGAAAAAAAAATGAACCGGCTGGCTACGTGGAGTCTCAGCAGATCGGCTGGTCTGGCTATCTCTAAATGGCGAGTGCATATAAAGACCGGTTGCATCGTTTAATTTTAAGAGCCACCAATGCCGAAGCAAAAAAAAAAAAAAGTCATTACATAAAAATAAAAACCAAAAGAAATGGCAATGGTACTCGCTCCTTGATAAATATTCTTAATGCATGAATAGCTACAAAGTTCACTCTTGTTTATTTAGTGCAAAAGTAAAATTGTCCAAAAAAAGAGTTTCATGTCCAGCTAAATCAATGCCATTCGGATCGGGTATTATAAGGTGCTGGTGTGTAGGTCATGTATGACATAAAGAGGCAGCAACAACAAATGCAAACCCATCTCCCTTTAAAAAAAAAAAAGTCTTCATGTCTGAGATGCTGCGGGGAAATGACGTAACATTTCATCTCACTTTCTAGCTCCACATTTTAGGTCTGCTGGAGGACAGTGTTCAGAAATGTTGCGGAATACCCACAAATCTAAGACAGCCTGAAAACTCAGGATCCAAACATGTGACAAGTAATGCAGGGGCATCCGTGGTCACAGATAGAGACGATAAGATCTGGTAAAGTTGGGGGTTCAAGAGGAATTAAATGCATTACTGTATAGAAATGGTACTTTATCGGGTGCCTCATTCAGCTATTAAAATCAAGCACTTTAGGACTAAGAGCATCACTGGGATCCGATCCCTTTGACCTTACTGAGGAGGGCTTTGCATTTGCTGCAATACTGCTCGGGTGGAAAACCAAGGAGTTGGAAAAGTGTCATCATAGTGGTGCATAGAATAAAAGGACAAGAAGCAAAGAAAGCCGTGTGTAGGTACAAACATAGTTCAACAATTTGGTCGTACAGCTTAACGCGCAAAACTCTTTCAAAGGTAAAAAGAAAACAAAACACATTCTGCCTCATATGTTTGAGTAAAACAATGAGATGCAAATCACACAACTACACAAACTGAGGAAGCGTGTTCACCATCATGCACACCGAGCGTTCAAATTTTTCTTTTCTTTTTTACTGTCAATGCATGACTCAAACAATGCCAATTAGATAGATAGCAGGGGTAATTATACAGAAATGGCCTGCAGTGTGATGTTACCATAACACTTGAACAGGTAACAGGAGGTAGAACACAAGGCCATTTCCATGCAATTACACCAGTGTCACAACAATATGGCCGAGCCTCCTGCTTTGACTGAGAGGTACTCATCTACAGAAGTCGAGCCGATACTCTACTATCAAAAGTGCATCCAAATTTACATGTTGTGAGACCAGCACCCATAAGAACAATATTGACATCATAACAGTAAATATCAAGTACATGATTTTCAGAATGCCCCACAAACACAGTCAGTCGGATTTCTAGTTGCTGTACAACTGATGAGCAAAAGGGAAAAAATAAGGTAACGGGATTCTTAATAGGGCTTTTTAAGCACTCAACTAAAAAGCCTTGTGGGCTGGTCCAGTGAGGATATAAATGTAATTTACAGTGAAAGCTCCTAGCACCTTGAATCAAAAACGCCCCGTTTGTGCTTCTTTATCTTTTAAATAGTAATCATGTAAAAGTCTTTAATCTTGCTTGGCTGGGAAAGGTTGTGTGTTACAAAGAATAAACCAAATCTTTAGGCTATAAAATCTACAATATGACCACAAATGATCACAGACATACTTCATCCTGTACGAAAGGCATGAAGATGCTGAAAAATCACTAACAAAACACTACGAAATGCAATACATTTAAAAACACACTAAAAGTAACACACGCACACACAAAAAAAGTAAGCCCTGATTGTCTACCTCTATAAATGACTCAATTCATGTTAGATGCCCCTCTGCTAAATCTGTTAAAAATGATGCATAGTTAGAAAATATAAACTGCTCGCCTCCAATTAAGGTGAATTGAATTTGCCAACATAACTTTGTAGGAAAACTAAAGTAGTTAAAATGTATTAGGTTCATTAGTAAAATCGCAGCAGACTTGGAAGGCAAGAGAATATTTGCTGTTAAAATGAGCATACAAATATTTAATTTCGACAACATGTGGGCCAGTCCTCTAAAAAAAGTTCTTTAAAAATTTTCAGCAGTCTCCACTGAGAGCTTATTCAAAGTATACCTTATTGGCAACATTTCTGTAGAGTAAAAAGACTCTTAAAAAGTCATTTGCATAAATATCAAGTCTCCGTGCGATGACTGCTCCCGACTTCTGGAGCTGACTGTACATGAAAAGAGGTTCTTTGATGAAGATTTGCTCGGTTCCAATTTGAATATTGCAGCTTAAACTCCAAATGTACCAGATGCCTGGACACTGAGAGGCCACGCAAACATCCCACTATGACAATGACACCACTTTCTGATACTATATACATTTGAAAACATAACCAGGGCTAATGGGTAAAAGAAAAAAAAACAATAAAAAATAAAACTTTACAAATGCCTATTTGTTTAAAACGTAAGTCAGCTACACGCTTATTCTCTGTAAAAATGACTGAAAAACAAGATTTTGAAAGAAAAAGAAACAAAAGGATTTCATCATGTTCCCCTCTGCTGACTTCTAGATCATGTGTCTTTCATTAACACGGCTCAGTATACATTAGAAAGGTTTACTTGTAGGGAACCAGTCCCAATATATGATTTCTTGGTGTGATGATTACTGATGCAACTCTTTTGGTTCAGACGAAAGAGTCGGTCAAAGACGAATGGCTGTTCTTCCGGTCCAGATCTTAAATGCTTCCCCTCAGAATTAACTATTAACTATTGTCATTCGAGGAATTAATCTGATGACAAGAATCTTCTAGCCGTCACCAGATTTGGCATAACAATCAAGGGCAAATACTGAGAAACCCAGTGGGCCAATGTGGGCCAACTACCAGATAATTTCTAACAGAGGTGACAAAAGGAAGGAGGTCTCAAATGGCACTTCTCATCACATAGTGCCCTATGTGGAAAAAGAAATTCAACAACTCTAAATATATTAAGTACTTTTGTCCTGATTGAAGTACCCATCATATTCAGTGCACTTTGCTTGGATTGGCTGGTAAATAATGTATTTCAGAGGATTAAATAATTAGGTACATGAACTGTAAATGGAAACCCTCATTATTAGACTTTTCTTCTCCCTTTAAGCACTGAGGCCTGAGCACTCTAAAACGGGAAGAGGATGGTGAGCGTCACCCCACTGTATGCTATTATTGCCCACTAGTTTAGAAAAGGTGGATCATTTTTGCAGTTTGAAAACCTCACCATTTCCTCTCACAACTATGAACATATTTCCAGACAACAAATTATTACACACCAATATAGGACCCATACGCAAAACCTCCTCCAGCTATATGCATCCTTTTGCATCTTACAGTGTATAGCTGGTGTGATTTGGGTAGGTATAAGGGCTTAAGTACAATTGTAGACTTATGGGTAGCTGACAGATCCGTTATGTAGGGAGATCACAGTGTGAAGCAACTGCGATGCTATCTACAGCTGACAGTGGGACAGCGAGGGGGGGGCGGGGGTCCCATTAGTGGGGCCTCACCCACGCAAACCTGGGGCTGTTATTTCTCAGGCGAAGTACATGGTGCGTAGGGTGTCTTGGTGGATCTGAACTGCCTTGGCCAAGGCTTGGTGGTCGCGTCCGTTACTCTGGCCTGAAGTGTGACTGCCTTCAGCACTGAAGAGAGATGGTTCTGTTAGTTTGGGGAACTTGGGTGCACAGATAAAGGAATGCAAAGTAACAGATGAGAGTCTCACCTGTCGTGCTCTTTGTCCACCAAGTGATAGCGGGCCCGGAAAGCCACTAAATGGGCGTAGTAGGCCGGTGCTGGGATGGACACGGACCGGGTGCAGCGCACGTATGTATGGCAAAGCTGGTAGGTGAGGACCTGCAGTTCATCTGATGAGAAGTGGTTGTCGTCCCAGAGCACATGGTAGTGAGACGGCCTGCTGGTTCCCTACAAAGATGATGGGGGCGGTGTACGTGTACTTATCAAACAACTGACCACCTTCTTCATATAGACCTGTTAAAAGAGCCCCAGCTCTTACCTGAATGCCAGCATGACTGCAAAGGTAGAAGTCAAACTCTGAGGGGTGTGTGATTTTGGTGTCTACAGTCGTCCCTGCGGGAATGTTGCCACTTTTTCCAACCTGTATGAAATAAACATTCAAATGGGAATTACCAGGCTGAAGAACTTTTGACGCCAACTAAATTCGCAAACTTGCACCAGCCCCATAACAGCTGGCTTGTTGACATGAGTACATCACGATAGCTTTTCTTTCATTATGTGAGACATGTCTCTCTATTCAAAAAGTGAAAGAACAAGCAAACAATGTGATATACATATTGATTTGTTTGTCCATAAAGTAGATTGTCACAATCTAAATGACAATGGTCTTCACTATAAACCAGGTAAAATCTGACCTGAGCCCCACATTACAACTAACAAAGTACCGACCCTCTCGTTTCTGTCCATGCAGAAGAGTCTCGTGTGGTGTCTCTTCTGAACAACCACAAAGGTAATGCCAGGCTGGTAATCCTTCTCTAATTTGATGCAAGCCTCACGGATGGCCAGCAACTCATGCTGGAGAACCTGCAGGAGTAAAAGCCAAAAGATTTAAAGATTAAAAAGTGCTACAACGCAAAGATGAATATTTACAAACAACAAAAGAACCACGCTCCAAGCGAGTTCTTTTCTCAAAATGTTCCAAATGTTTCGACACTTCTGCACCTTCCCTGATCTGAATATTACCTGGCTGAATTGGCCCTCGGAAATGCCATCTCGGTAGTAGATGATTCTGGTGGGCTTGAAGCGGGTCGACTTGTAGAACTGGATAAGCAGCTCCCTCACCATGTTGGCCAGGTCCTGGATGATGTCCTGACGGTGCTGCTGAACCCGCACTGTGGCACAATATCGACTGGGATGGGCATCCATACTACCAACCACCTAAGGTGAAACAGAAAAACCTTTTAAAAATTTGAAGAGGCGTAGCCCCGAATGACAAAGGTGCTAATAAAAAGTTTAAATAACAATCTTTGGCTCAGGTACTCCAGCTGAGGAAACTTACACCACTGAGATGAGTTTTAATAGCAAGTCAAACTGGTTGAGCAACTCTCCATTTTAAACTGGACATTAACAGCAAAACCACCAAAGGAGTGCAAAAAACAGAAAAGCCCTGGTACACTTACAGACACTTGAGGAAAACAGTTATATCTTTACATGAAGGAGTGGTACTACTCACGGCAGCAATGGAAGGCTTCTTTCCATCTCCTGCAGGGGGGTGAGTTACATCTGAACCAAGGAAGATCACTGGCTGCTGGAACACCATGGGCCTGGACGGGAATGCACAGAGCAGACGTGTATTAACATCACAAATACAAATGTGATGACTATATTTAAATTCAATTGTCATGATAATGCATGTTTCAGTATTTCCACCAACCTGCCCTGTGGGAGGAGGATGTTGTTGACCCCACCTAGCTTGACGTTTATCTTGAGACAGAGGTTGGAGAGAGTCTGAGGGGTTGTCTTCTGTACATTCTTCACCTGCACACACTGAGTGGCCATGCCGAGCACCGTGTCTCCGACACGTTTTACTTCAGCTGGGAAACAGAAAACCAGGAAAGGTCAATTAGATGAGCTTTAGGTGTACAGCTGAGTCTTTATAGGTTCACTAACTATTCAAAACCATTTCAGGAGATCAACAATGCTGGTATTGATTAACTGTATCATATATACGTTTTCTATATTGAAGAGAATCCTGTTATTTTGCTAGTTTGGGGGATATAAATGGGAAAATAATCAAATAGAAGATGTTGATAATGGAGAGTGTGGAGACAGTTTCCAAATAATCCACCAAAATAAATACAAACATGGACCTCTATAGTCCTGGTGCAGAAAATAAAAGAACACAACTGATGTCATCTGAAATTGACTGTGCTCCCAGTACAGTTTGTGATTGGTTGTTTGTCTTGTATAATTAAAATTCACCCCTAGGTGGCAAGGGTTAGCAAGTTTTAAAACAGGTCAGACGAAGAATTTACTGTTATTCTGTAGTCTGTAGTCGGGATGTTTTTACTACACACGAACAGAGTCTGTGAGTTGCTCCCTCACCATAAACAGGAGTCTTCCCCGGTAGGATGACCACCACCAGTTGGAGGCCCTGGTAGGTGTACTTGAGATGCCTGAACATTGGCTCGACGCTGTCTGCTCCCTGGGCGTATTTACAGAAGCAAGGCTGACCTTGGATGGGCATTCCTGCATCGCGTGATATCTTCCTCAACTGATCTGTGAAAGCTCTGACAAAATAAAAATGTGTTATTTAAAGCTTTGGTTTGGGGATTTCAAAACAAGTTCAAAATGGGCTCTGATTATCTTCAGCCTTCAAACTGTTTTAATTTTTGTAGCTTCACTTTAAACCACAAGGGAACGGCTCTTTGTACAGCAGAACTTGGCAAAATGAAGCCAGTCTTACACTTGGCATGTAACATGAGAAACTCAACATACAGACTTGCAACTATCCAGCCAAAGACCAGAATGAACTGAACAAAGCTTTGTTTATGAACCGAGTAAGAGAACAGCTGTACATGGTATGCACATGCCATTGCATATCTGTCTTAAATGGGACACATTAGCACAAAATAACATCTGCTGCACTCCCAGATGAACATTTGAAACCCCAGACATGTTATAAAAAGCTATTCTCTTAAACATTTCTATCAACAGCTGAAAGAGCTTTCTTTTCCCCTGGGTCCTTTCTGTCTCCTCTGTTCAGGACCAGCAGCCCATTCTTTGCTCCAACATTTGTGATACAGAGTTCTCTATTCTACATGTTTTAGTGCCAACTCTGCCTACAGCTTTTGATATCAGTCTACTAACTGGTAGAAAATCCAACACAGCATGAACATATAGAGACTGGAAAAACACCTGGACTGGGCCACAGCAGGCACTTTCTAAGAATCTCACTTACTTGAGCAGGAGTTCAGTGCACTGTCTCTGAGGGGCAAAACAAGCGATGGCCCACACTTTGATTTCAATGCCAGTGTGGAACTGCTTGTTCCTCATGTCCCAAACTCCCTGGATGGGTGTGGCTATTGCTTTGTTCTATAAATCAAACGGGCAAACGTATTAGTTTGTGCAACAATAAATGGCTTACTTTATTAAAACCTAATAAGAGAATTGCATTACAGTGCACACTCGTGAACACACTGGAGCTGCATCATCAACATACCCTGCCGCCGTAAAGTATCGAAGGTGCTTGGAGGACGCGGCCATTCACTTCTGTCATTTCATCCCTGACCATCACTCCAAATTCACGAACGTAAGGGTCAGTGTTGAAGTTGGCACTTCTCATCTAGAAGATAACAAAAAAAGAGGAGCCAACAATCAATTAAGATGCTCTTATTTGTCCAGAAAGCTGTTTGTATTGCATATATATACAAAAACTAGAAAAATAGTGGCATGAAAGGTTTGTGGTTTTGGTGGCTGTAAAGCATGCTGTGGACATCTCTGTTGCATTCAGCAGACACTGACTCACCAGTTTACTGATCTCATCCTGACGGTCTGGTGCTGATCGAGCTGTAGCACGGATCATAGTGGAGGTCTGATTGTCGGTCAGCTTTTTTATGCAGCGCTGTCCTGCCACTATGTTACACACCTGTCGATGTAAAGCAAAGATAAGTCAAGCTTTGAGCGGAACCATTTCTAGTCGAGGATAGTTTCCTTAAACAAACACTGAAAGCACAAAGCGCTGTGATGCTTACCTCTAGGGGGAGGTAGGTGTGCTTTTGCTCCTGTCCCACCTGTAAACATGGCAGGTGGGGGTATCGCAGGATGAGCTTGTACTTGTCTTTAAAGTACTGTGCTACTGTGCATTCAATAGTTTGGCCATTCTCCTGTTGCAAAGGGAACCTAATATGGTAAAGACAAAAAGTGTTTCAAAGGTTATTTGGATTATTAATCTGTGCTTTTTTTTTTTTTTTAAATAGTCAATCTATATTTCCAGAACACTTTTCTCGACTCAATGTTTCTCACTTTCGAATGCTTGAATGTTTCTTGATGTTAAAACGTCAGGTTCAAAACAACAGCCAGCATGTAAGACACTAAAGGAGACACTCACGTTTGATGGCTGGCTGGTCTCCTGGTCACATTGCAAACTCTGTACTTCCTCTTCATCTGCCCACAGTGAGTAATTTCTACCTTCAGACCTTGATGAGGGAATTAAAAAAAGGGATCAGAAATAGAAATAAGATTGAAAAGATAGAGTTGAAAGATGTTAAATTTAAACTTGGTTATTAGGTCAGAATTACTGACCCAATTAATTAAATGTCCAAAGGAAGAAAAGAAAAAGATCTGTATCACTACTTCAAGACAACTGAGCTCTGTCTGAAGCTTTATTTACCTTTGATTTCTTTAGTAAATTTCACTCGCTGAGAGTCTGTTAAAGGCTTCTGTTGTTCTTCGATGCTTTTGAAATCCAAAACCTCACACATGAACTCGATTACAGGCTGAGCTTTGTAGAAAGCAGTGGCTGAAACTGTAAAAAAACACGCATAAGGACATAAGACACACAGAAGCAAATAAATTTACTCTTTCAAAAAAATGAATTCACTCTTTCAAAGCAACAGATAGATTACCATCAATGTTGAGCATCATTTTCCAAAGTGAAGGCCGAACGGACTGGTGGAAACCAAACCACACCTCTCTCCCACCACCCAGTGGGTTTGAGCATCCCTCTGAAGGAGTAAAGAAAGAGCGTCCAACTGGGGTATACCTGTAACAGATCATATCATTATCTGACTTATCGTGCAGGAGCTGCGACAAACAAATCAAACACCTTCAAATCCAAGATCAGATCCAATTTTGCATTTCACAAAAAAGACATTTACGATATTATCATGGAAGGCAAATGGCTGATTTTGCAATGCGAACAACTCCCACCACACATACCTCATAGAAGGCAAATGCCTCATGACCACATCCAATGCTTGAATAGTCTCAAAGGGAACACTGGGTAGCCGTCCTGATAGTGCCTCGTGTAGAGCCTGCAGGCTAACGCAGGAAACCCATTTGATGGATACTTTGAAGCTGCGGTCTTTGCCTTCACCTGGGATTGTAACTTCAAGCTCCACCTGAGTGACAATAGAACGAAAAGAGAAGAGGAGATGTAATCCTGGATTGTCTTCACTTTTTAAAGAAGCAGAGGTTTCAATCGTATGTACCTTGTCTCTGCCTATGGGCAAGGGCATGGCCGTGTAAAGGTTCTTTCTTCCATCGTACACTGGCTTTCGATCACCAAAGATCTGAGTTTTAAAGTGCTGGACCATGTGCTCTACAATTTCACTGTGTACGAAAGGAGATGAATCACCACAATCTTCAGGACATTTCAGACAGTGATCTGCGGATCCGAAAAAAAAGAACTTACCGATTGACCCTCCTGGGACATTTCTCAGGCTTGATGTCGATGTCATAGTGATAGACCTCCAATTTGGGAATTTCCATCTCAAAAAAGTTGGCCTGGAGTTTGATTGTCCTGCCCATGGTGCCAAAGTCAGGTCGTGATGGTGGCTTGAACACATATTCTGGCACAGGGGAAGATGGGGGGTCTAAAGGAGGTGGGAGGAAAGCAACAAAACTCAGTTAGATTAGAGTTACAGGTACCAGGTCTATTATATTAAGCTTTTTTATTAGAAATGAGCTTGAACTCTGGCAAACGCCTTAGTGATTATCAGGGCTATTTATTGAAATAAATAATAATAAAAAAATAGAAAAAAAAATCAAAAGCTACCAATCAGTACTGGATGAGTAGTCAGACCTTGAGCAAGAAACCAGAAATATATTACTCTCTAATGCGGAAAGTGGCTTTGAAGTATCTTTATTTTTTAAATATTCTTCATAGGATGCATGTTTTTTCCAAAATTTAAAAGACAAGCTACTCCATGAAGCGTCATATCTATGACTTCAGATGCCTCAGTCTGTCAGGGCACACTTTCTAATCCCTTCATACCCTTATCTTTCTGCTCCAGCTCCGTTCATTCAAACAGATGAACACCCATAAAGGGTCCCGGCACACCAAGCCAGGGGTCAGTTGTTGGGAATGTTCAAGGCTCGTGTTAATTTTAAAGCTGGCATGGTCTTTTTAGATGCTCTGCATTGTAAATAAGCTTTAATAGAAATAAATTGACTTAGACTTAACCTATGCCTGCCGCTGCAGCTCTTAACAAAAGCATATTTCCACAACACAGATGTGTAACCAACTGAAATAAAGGCTTTTCAGTGGTCTAAACAAATTTATACAATTTAATCAAAGCATGCCTTACTCAACAAGAAATATAATTTAATATGAAAAAGGAGCATTATTGATACAAATTATTTCATTGTTGTTTTTTTAATGTAGACAGCTCAGTTAATGTTTGTGTTCCTTTAGACATATTTTAAAAATCCAAAGATCTTCAGTTAGAATTGGTTGTCAGTTTGCATTTTGTGTTTTGGGGTTCTTTAAATGCACTTGTTCATTTTAATTAAAAGCCCTCTACATTGCACTTGAATGCACTTCAATTTGGAGCACAAAAAGAGACAGTTAAAGCATCGCAGACAGACACAGTCCGCTTAAGCTGCTGAATACAAAATAGAACCAATTATATGTGACTGTGTTGAAGATGAATAAATATGTTTCCCCTGAAGGAACATTATGATGCTCGTACAACAAACCACTACTGGGACCAGTAGATCAGTGAGCTTTTAAGGTGAGAAATCTTACCAGAGCTTATTGACCCGGAGGAACGAGGTCCTTCGATCATCTCGGGAGCTGCTGCAAAAAACAAACACGACATGTTAGTTTTACAGTCTACTTGGCCTGAAACAAAGACTTATACAGCCAAGAAACTAAGTTTCACTATCCTAAAAGTAAAAATGCAAATGTATGATGTACTACAGTCTGCTAAAAGATGAGGAAACCATTGAGGGCTTCTCATCTTTTTGAATATGTAACTGTGAGCTCTTGGGTCATTCCAGTAGGCCTTGCTCTGTTATCACTTCCACAGCAGTATCACCCACCATCAAGGGACTCTTATCACTATGCACACAGAAGGTGTCGGACAAGCCAGCAATCTAAAGCAGGCGTAGCCACCCATTCGATTGGAAATAGGCCCCGTTCCATTACACTTCAACTCAAACATGTACCTTTTACAATGAAAAAAGAAGCCTGCCATGACAAAGAAAGCAAATCCTGCACAAATGAAAGTAAAACACTCTTCCACTGCCGTTTATCTACGTTCGCGCCACCTGCTCACAGGCCCAAGAGAAAATCAATGAAAGTGAGAGTTTTGATGAGCTAAAAATGCTTGGATTTACGCTTGTGGTGTCCTTTCACTTAAAAATGTCCGATTTTAGTTTCCTTATTTTAATATTGGTTTATTATTAATCTGAGTGGAGAGTTATACTCGTCATAATATGACAAATGTGTGCTCATTTTGAAAATCATGGCAACAACATAACAGGAGGAAGTTTACAGCTGTTACAGTGAGTAATGCTTTCCTTTGTTACTTTACACAAACTGAAGATGTTTTCTCTGGAGGCCCAAATATCATGACCTTTCACTCTTTATTTCCTGCCTCGAACAACATTTATAAACCAAGTATTGAACTTATTGGAAATACATCATGCCACAGCGGTGGAACTTTGTAGAAATATTTTAAACTCCTTAGGTCTTGGATATTAATTTGGACACAGTTATGTTGCTAACCTGTCAGTTGTGCTATCATTTATGAGTTAAATGTTTTGTTTTTAACATCTCACGACTTTGCCCTCTTGCTAGCCTTATTACCACTTTTATTCCTTCTTTCTTTTAATACTTTCAGGCCAATTCCCATGATTACTTTTTACAAATGAGCAAACTTTTGTTGCGTTGCCTTTGTTTGATTATTAATCGAATCTAAGGCTTAAATATTCAGCAAACATTTACTTTCTGATTTTGTTTACACTGTGACTACAATCACTGTTACTTTTTTTTATGTCAAACAGTGATTAAACTAAAAAATTGCTCTTATCGAAACAAACTGGGCTTCTCAAAATACAATTAAACAAAGGGAAAATTACTAACCCAAATAAAACTCGACTTGTGTTCGGTTTGGCTGGTCGTAGCTATGGCTGCTGATGAGATTAGGTAGCATTGCCGGCCGGGGGAAATTGTGAGAACTAAATGTTGTGTGTTTCAGAGGCCATGTGTTTAAAATATTATATTCATGCAATTCTATGCTTGGCGGAGAAATGTACGACTCGTCCATGTGTAATCGCAGGACACAAGTCACACAAATAAATGGGCCAAAGTTGAGAAAACGAGGAGCCGTTAAAGCTAACTTAGCTAGCGGCAGCTTGTTGTTGCTGCACGTTAGCTAAGCTTGTCTCTGGTACGAGTGCCTCCACTTAAGACCGGGACGAAATGTTCTTCGCCAAAAGGACTTTATAAGTTTCAGGAATAGCCCTCGAATTGAAAAGCTTGCTTCATCTGAGTGCGTTTGAGTAATTATTAACTTAACTCTAGCGAGGAAACACATAACCAACGGCAGAGTTTTTAACTCAGCTAGCTGCATCACTTAGCCGATGCTAATGTTAGCCGCAATACTTACCTCCAGCAGAATACATTTTGTCGACTTTTTGAGCGTGTTGTGGATGTGCAGATACTCCACTCTACGAAGGCCAAACTGAACCTAAACTCATACGAAGCCAACAATTACGTATGTGTCCAACAGTACTGGACGAAACACTGTTCGGTAAATAAAGATATTTAGTTAGCCAAGTGGTAAATATTTGGACTCTCTCATCCTCGGTACGACCCCATCCCCCCACCACACAAAACAGGAGCAGAGAAAAAGATAGCTCAGAAAAGACCCATGTGGTGCAAATGCAATCCCTCCCATCCACTTCCGGCTTCGACTCTAGTCAGGGCGCCTCACCTACACCCGACCCCTCTTTCAAAATAAAATGAAAATGGCCACTGAATTGTTATCCCAAAAAAGCCAAAGTCAGCCCTCCAAAGGGGTCAGCAGCAATTAAGACGCGATGTGAGTGACAGCGTGAAACATTTTGTAGTTATGATGTTCAGAAAAAAGCAACACCTCCCCCCCAAAAAGAAGAAAAGTACGCTTCGGGTAAGCTGCTTTCTGACACAGATGGTATATAAATTGCATGCATATATATATAAATGATTTTTTTTTCCAAAAAAGAACTAAACACATTTTTAATATCACACCATCCACTACGTGGCAATTATTACATTTCAGACCATAGACATAGATACATGTCCATGTTCCAGACGCTGCAAAGAGGATGGGGGGTGAGTTATCTTGTGATGACGTCACATGCACGACTCTTTCTCTCTCTTACTCTCAATCTCTCTTTCTCTCTCTCCGCGTTGACTCGAAAGCATGTAGAATAATTTTAGCGTTCACTCATCGGTCTGTTAGGAAATATGTAAATGTCTATAAGTTATGAAGTGCGCTTTGTTGCACTATTAAAGAAGCTTGAGGTTAAAAGTAGCCTGTCCACAACAGGAAGTGGTTAAGGGGTAGGGGAAGTATTTCCGGGGCATTCAGCCGGAACAAGCGTCCAATAGGATGTTTTTCTTTTAGCCCCAAAACGCTTCAAAATGAAAAGTTGGCCTTAGTGAGTACTGAAATTTTAGATAGAAGTTTCCTAGAGGAATTCAGTTTAAGATGGAGTCCTATGTAGACTTTGATCAAATGTAAATACAAGTAGAAATAACTCAAGCTATTAATGATTAGGCCATGTTATATATTTTTAAATAATTATTTTAGATGTCATTTATTATTAAGATCAAAGTGATGGAGAGTAAGAGCAACCTGTAGCCAATATTTGTCTGAACTGAGGTGGTTCCATTGATATATGTTAAAATCCTTCATTATTTCCAGTTGTACTTTTAAAACACGCTTATAAGTTCCATCTGACCCGTAATTTATATTAATGTTAAGTTAGATAAAAACAAATGCACCTGAAAAAGATGTGTTCCTTTATGGGTTTACACAATAAATCCTTGTGCAGCAATTAGGTTTGTCCACTTGTCGGCGCTGTTCACCACTGAATGCACTGAGCGTCTGGCCAGGAATAGTTTTTGTTTACTCTGCAACGGTCTGAAAACTGAAAAATAATGCTGTATATGTAATATCCAATGATCTCGTCATGGACAAACAGTATACATATATCGTATTTTGCTGATATAGTGTCGAATACACCATTTACTTTTACTGTATGTTAGATTGGACTAAATGCTTTGGGGAACGACAGGTTTAAAAAAAACAAAACGAAACATCATAAATCGAATCTGTGTAATTTATTTCAACGTGATATGCCCAAAAATATTTGACTCCACGCTCACGTGTGCTAGGATGAATTAACTTAATTCCGCCTCGATTGTTTTAATATGCTTAAATAAAGAAAAGTGAAGACAAATGGGTTCTGCAGCAGGGGCCTTTTCAGCTGGGAGGTTTTGTCCCTGTGATTCATCGCTCTGATAAATTGGGAACACTTTAATTGCCCTCATTGATTGATAGTATAAAAACACGACAGTGCAGCCTCACAGCCCAAGTGATTTCCCCCCACATAAGAAAAGCTGGCGGAGGGAATTGGGTGTAGCTGTGTCTGTGCGCGCCTTGGCCAATGGAACCAGATCCTCCCTGCAGTGCGTAAGAGCGCGATTTAGGATTTAACCAAGTCTTTGCTGCGAGGCTGGCTGCAGTCTTCACCAGAGCCCGACGGCCTGAGAGCGTCTCCACACAATGAGAGTATAGTCTCCACACCGCTTTTGGACCAGGCTGCTTTGATTAGTCTTTTGTTACTACTATTATTATTTCTTTTTTTTTTTTTTTTTTACATTATAGTAGATTAAACAATACAATCTCGCGTCGTTGCCTCGCGAAGCATGACTGGAGTTTTCGATCGGAGGATCCCGAGTGTGAAACCTGCAGATTTCCAGAGCTCCTTTCAACTCTCCACCATGCACCATCCGTCTCAGGAATCTCCCACTTTACCCGAGTCGTCAGCCACAGATTCAGGCTACTACAGCCCGGCCGCCGGAGTCCCTCACGGCTACTGCTCGCCCAGCTCCACCTCGTACGGGAAGCCTCTCAACGCCTACCAGTACCAGTACTCGGGTGTAAACGGATCTGCGGGAAATTACTCGACAAAATCCTACAGTGATTACAGCTCGTATACTACGCCTGCTTACCACCAATATGCCGGGACTTACAGCAGAGTTCAAGCCCAACCGAGTCCACAAGGTACGGACATAGATAATTATATAGGCCTATATCTTTTTAGTATTGTAAATGGCCTCCATTAAAATCAAGTAACTGGATTTCTAAAAAATCCAATTTTATTTATTGTTGTTTGCTTTTAAATTTCCATTACCTCAAGAACTTTGCCATTTGACACTAAATCCTCTGAGTCAAATGTATGGTTATCTAAGGCTTTTTAAAATAAATTATATAAAACGTATGCGTATATTTTGTGAAACAGTCTCTATTTAAAAAAGAAAAAACAATTTTACGCGTCTATCATAACCCAAAAGCCAAGATATTATTTTCTTTTTCTTCCCGGGATTTTCAATAGGCTCATTCAGCCATTCATTTTTGTTTTGTTGTATGTTTTTTCGAACAGAAAAAGACATAAGCGAGCCGGAGGTGAGGATGGTGAACGGCAAGCCGAAGAAAGTGAGAAAACCCCGGACCATTTACTCCAGCTTCCAGCTGGCCGCCCTGCAGAGGCGCTTCCAGAACACGCAGTACCTGGCGCTGCCGGAGAGAGCCGAGCTGGCGGCGTCGCTGGGACTCACGCAAACACAGGTGGGATTTTATATCAAAAAGGATTTATATCAAATTTACCAGAGTGGGGGAAAAAATCAATAATGCTATGAAATATTTTTAAATCCTAATAATTCAAATAGATGAGTATCCGGGCCTTTGTGCGTCTTTTTACGCAGCTTATATCTTTTGTCTTTTTAATCTGCATCATTAACCGTCTTTTCTTTTCTTTTTTCTTTAACCTCATCAGGTCAAAATTTGGTTTCAGAACAGACGATCGAAAATGAAGAAGATCATGAAGAACGGGGAGCTTCCTCCGGAGCACAGCCCCAGCTCCAGCGACCCCATGGCCTGCAACTCCCCCCAGTCCCCGGCCGTGTGGGACACGCAGGGCCCCTCCAGGTCGCACAGCCTCCAGCCACAAAACATCAACACGGCCGCCTCTAACTTTTTGGAAAACACGGGCTCGTGGTACACGTCCGCCGGCAGCTCCATGGCCTCCCACCTTCAGACACCTAACTCGATACAACACTCGTTGGCTCTCGGAGCTGGGACGTTATATTAAAAAAAAATACGCATAGAAAGAAAAAAAATCAAAAAACAAAAAACACCCTGTTGTTCATTTAATCCCCCCCTTCCTCCTTCTATGGGACTCGTGTTCACATTACAGAGGAATATGCAATGTATTTGATGACAGTCATAGAGGAAACGTGTAAAATGTGTAAATGTGTGCATGTAATTTATTGCATTTTTTGGAAGACTATTAAACGTTTAAATGGACAATGGATCTTTGAAACCTCCTGCCTCCATTTGGTTGTTTCTGTTCCCTTCAGACCTCGGTTATTCGCTCTGCAACTGACCGCAGAGGCAGGACGTAATGGATGCACGCGCCTCAGGTGACACGCTGTAAATCACAGCAGAGGGAAGCTTTTGTGTGTACAGCCCAGCAGCTTTGATCTGTTATTCGCTTCTGTTTTCATATTGTTGATCTTCTTTTTTTATTATTATTATTATTATTATTCAAGAACGCTGGTAATGTAAACTGCCTTGGAAATATTTTTTGCTGTTTTGTGAAAATCTCCCATTTTGGATCCGGAGACTCTATCCTGAATTTGAAAAATAAATTAGAGAAGAAATATTATTTTCTATACTTAGAATTAAGGAACCAAATTCTGGCTGAAGTGACTTATTATGAGTATATTTTATGTGCAACACAGAATACCAAGCTACCAATTATAGTCTTTTAAATCCAGTTTAGTCTTTCTTCAGGTAGCCCATGTTGACTGTTTGTGAGATTCACTTTATGAACTGAGATTATAGGTTGATATTATACTTTTTAATTATACCATATTTTATTGTATATTGCCATATATTGTCTCTATTTCGGAGAGGGAATGCTCACGGTCTTATTCCTCTGGTGTGTTGGTGAGGACAGATTGATTCTTTCAGGTCGTCTCTACGGAAAATGCCTTCTCCCTGCTGCAGACACTCCGCAGTCTCCCTTGCTTTGTGTCCCCTACAATTAGCCGCTCTGAATGGCAGAGAGGAGGCGAGGGGGGGGGGGGGGGGGGGGGGGGGGGGCGGCACGGAGATCTGAGACAATCCGCATTCCTGTGGGGGTAGACCGGCTCCAGAGCTCTGCCACTCCCGCCGGCCACAGCCCACCTTCCGGGTAAAAAAACCCAAAAGATAGGAAGGAACGTGGGAAAAACCTCCACATTTTCAGCGCGTGGGGCTGTGCACGTGCAAGAACTACAATAAAACACGGTTTAACCACACAACAGACACAGTGTCTGGCTCAGAGCCTTTTTTTTTATTTCCGGGATGCACGTTTTAAAACGATATTTGCGCGTAAAAGATTGGGCCTGCATGCGCGTGAGCGTTTTCTTATACCCACCGGTACGTGCGTCTGACCTGCACGCTGACCCGTGCATGTTACCGTTTCCACCTGACACCGAGTCCTCTTCCTGGTTGCACCCCTGTGCACGCGTTCCAAAGGCGCGCGCGCCCCAAAGCGCAGACAAAGCGTTTCTTAATGCAGAAGCCCCTCGGGGCCTTCGGCTGTGGGCTTCGTGTCTGCTGTGGCGTGAACGGCGGTCATCACGACGCGTCCGGGTCACTCCGGAAATGGACGTGCACGCGATCAGTTACGTTTACACGCGTGCACATTATCATAGTTCTCCTATACAGTGTATTTTCCAACTATCCCCCTCTCTCTCTCTCTCTATCCTCACTCACACACACACACACACTCATACACACTCATACACACTAATACACACTCATACACACACACACTAGTGGTGCCATTATATGGAGAGCCCCCGTTTATTTTCAAGCGAACATTTTCCACTCAGCTAGTTTTCCCCCCGTTTTGCAAATCGAGTCTAAATAATGACAGTTAGCTTTACTGGACAGCTTCAACTGTAACACTCCACAATAATTATTCTCCAGGATTAGGGGCCTCCATTATCATAATCTGGACATTGACAATTACCTATAATTTGCAAAGATGCGCTTGGTTCTTGATTGCAGAGGGCTTTTTTTTTTCTTTTCTTTTTTTTTTCCAAGCTCGCCATCACTAAACAGTGACAGTAATAACAGCTAATTTTGCAGGCAATATATAAGAGCTTACCGGGGTGTGCAAACACTTTCCCACCTGGATTTGCTTATTCAACCACCAGCAGTAAAGCAGAGCAGGAGCTTTTTTGGGTTAGTCTGTGTTAGAGAAGCGGACTAAGGTAAGGATGAGTCTTATACTATTCACCCCTGATCCTTTCCACAGGAGGCAGGTCTCATACTTTAGGGGGGAAGTCAACCAGCGGTCAGGATAATCGAGAAGGCTATGACTTAATCTGGATTTTCATAAAAAATAGATGTTATGATCGTCATTTTTTGCTCGGTGAATGGCTGGTTTCCCCTCGTTATGGCGCAGTGTGGTGTGAAATATTGTCCAGCCTTCCGGTTTTTCATGGGAGAAGTATATCAGCTACTGATGGTGGACTATATGTGGCACATCCTTCCCTTCAACCACACCCCCCCCCCCCTTCCGCCACCATCAGCTGCTTTACCCTCGTATTTTTCCTAATATCTATCCAGCTATCTACAAAAAGTTCGTTTAATCTGCCTCATCAAAGCCTTTTTTCTCCGTTTGCAAAACACGATAAAAAAAACGAGACTTCTCGCGTCTGAATGCGCAAAAAACAAAACGCGTCTTTGTTGATGTTTATTCGACTGCTTGCTCGTGGCTCCCTGCAGCCACAGCACGGCTCGGGAGCAGGAAGATGGGCCCCCCGGCCTGATGGGGGCCCCAGGTAGGGCTGAGAGTGCAGCCAGTGGGACATCCGCGACTTGACAGCTGCGCAAAGCGCCTTTCAGCGTCGTAATTTCAGATAATATCCCGAGCGCTCACTCTTCTCGGCAATTTGTATATGAATAACCGAATAATTTCCCCTTTTGTTCCATCTGTGCTACCTCAAATCCAAATAAAGATGCCTTTTAGTATTAAAAGTGGTAGAAAATTACAGGTAATTATCTTTGACGGTAAAAACGCTGTAATCAGCGGGCTACATCAAAAATTACCCTAATTATGCCTGCATTTATGAGAAAGGGGGTGAAAAAAAAAAGCCTCACTTGGATAAAAACCCACAAATTGTCCCAAATATCTCCTTCATATTGAACGCCGCTGCAGCTGGCTGCTTTGTTCGGCATCGATCCCGTGGAGCTTGGCATTTAACGGCCTGCATTAGGACGGAGAGAAGGGAGAAAACATTTTGTCAATACTTCTAATAATTGCGGGTGAAATGACAAGATAAGCTGGACCTGGAGCAAATGTCTCGGGGTGAATGCAGACAGCAGCGGTGGAGGGTAAGTTAATTTCCTCTGACGTTTGATAAATCTATACGCTTTTGGCGTTTTCCTCGTCGCCCAGTGGGTTTTTATTTGAAATGTCTGACGAAAAAGGGGCTTTTTGTAGCATTTTACTTAGGCTCACGTTGTCTGGTGTGAGCTTGTAAGCAACAGAGGGGCTAAAATAGGCTTGTTGTTGGTGTGATGTGGGCCTAGTTTGAAGCGTAAAAATAAGGGCCTTAGATGGATGCGATTCTGTGTTCTTTTTCTCTTTGTGGAAATGGGAAATCACGCGACAGCAGGCGTCTGTTTGAGTCACGGTTTACTCAATCTGACAAAACATAAAAAGTGTATGTACAACTAAAATCGCAGGTCATATTTACAGACAGACAATTTGCTTGCATGTTGGAGAAACAAAACCAAAGAAAAATTCAAAGCAGTCAGGAGTCCACCATGGCAGGATAAAAATAAAAAAAATTGAAAAAAAAAAGGAATCTGGGCGCCACAGCTAATGGAGAGTAGAAGCAGTCTTTTGCTCCAATGGAGCCAAAAAACAAAAGAAAAAAAAAGTCACTGATAATATTTGGTATATTGAAGTTCAGACGTTGACATGAATGACAGCATAACAAATGTGAGCCCACTGAACAGCCATGGATGCTAAAAAATATGGTTAGTCCCCTTTGTTTGTGTCACCGCACCGGGGTTTGGCCCCGGTGCGTTATCCTCCCGGCCCGGAGCAGAGGGGCAGGCAGAGCCCTCTCTCCTCCCTCAGCATCCGGTCTCATCCGCGCTGACACAAAAAAATGTAGGCTACGTTGGTGGGTGATCCGGAGGCCCCCCCCCCCTCCTCGCCAGTCTATCTCTGCATGGAGTCTTGATGTGGGGACGAGTACCAGTGAGAGTAGCCGGGCATGTAGCTGTTGGCCGGCATGTTTACTCCTTTGGAAGAGGCCGACACGTCCCAGATGGGGGGGATGGTGGGAGAGCGCGGGGACAGGGACATGGAGCCCGGGATGGGGTCGCTCTCGTGCGGGTTGCTGCCTTGTTTTAGCAGCTTCTTGAACTTTGACCTCTTATTCTGGAACCAGATCTTTACCTGTTGAAACGACAAAGAAGGGGGTTTTATGTTAGAAATGAAAACGAAAAATACTACTAAAAGAGCAAAAGAATAAGAAAGATGGAATCCTCTGAGAGCTGCTGACTTAAATTAAACTGAGAGGATCTTATTTGGGAGCATACCTGTGTTTGTGTCAGTCCCAGAGAGGCTGCCAGCTCGGCGCGCTCCGGTAAAGCGAGGTACTGTGTCTGCTGGAAACGGTGGTTCAGTGCTTGGAGCTGCAAGCTGGAGTAAATTGTCCGAGGCTTGCGAATTTTCTTGCCCTTTCCGTTAAAACGAATCTCCCCGTTTTCGATCACTGTCGTCTTCTGCTGCTCTGCAACAAAAACAAACAAGCGTCACATTAATCGGAAGCCACGGCCAAGTCGCGCTCATGCTGCACTGGGGAGGAGGGGGGGGGGGGGTGTGTGTGTGTGGGGGGGAGACACTGGCACGTTAGATCAGTCTCTGTGACAGAGACATAAGTGTTATAAAAATGAAAAAAATCCCAACTGATAAACGTTGACGTCGCCCGTTGCCTTTCCGTGCCGTGGCAGCCCCGGTCCTCGTACGCTGTCATATTTAGGATATTGCTGGTAATGACATGTCAATTAAATGCTAATTACAACATTCAAGGCTGCAGGCTGCCTAATTTCCACGAGTAGTTGGTGAGGATTGCACGGTCGAGATGATCACACCCTGGCCATTAAAGCAGGTTTTGCGGTGAGGAGCGCTAAACGGGACGAAGAAAGGGGGTGGGGGGGGGAGAGAAAAGAGCAGGCAAAGAAGGGTGGATCTGGACTCCTCCGTTGCCATTTACGCACGGTTTTTTCCTCAGCGCCTCAAAAAAACACGATCCCTCCAGAATTTGCAGCGGCAGCGCGACGGTGCGTTCACGACACCAGGAGAAAAAAAAAAGGTTTGATCCGTACTAAAAAAAAAAAAAAAAAGGAAGGCTACCGGTTCCCGTCAGGCGCCTGGCCGGGGAACGCACGGGACGCGGGCGTCTGTTTTACCACTTTGTGTCCGGTGAAAAGCGGGTTTCTTACCTGGGCCGTCTAACCTGGTCTGTCCTCCCGTGTTGTTGTGGTAGGACGGCAGGTAGGGGCTGTGGTGCGGGTGGCTCACGTAAGGGTAGGGCAGCGACCTGTTGTAGGTGTTGCTCCCGGGGTACGGAGTGTTGTCGTGTTGGTGGTGGGCATGTGAGCCGGAGTGGAGACAGTGCAGCGGATAGTGGCCGCCGGCCATCGACGGGGAGCTCTGCTGTGAGTGCGACTGCTGTCCAAACTCCATGAAAGCAGACTTGGATGAGTCCTGAGCCTCCAGACCGTCAGCCATCGTAGTCATGGTCATCATCGAATTTTCTGCCTTGAGAGCACTCACCCCCCTCTCTCTCAAGACCAAATCGGTTTTTCTCTCTCTCGCGCTGCGCTGTTGTCTCTCTTCCCCTCTCCACCGCGAGCAGATATTGTCCTATTAACACCCGCTTTTTTTTTTTCCTACAGGCGTCTTTATCCCCCCCCCCCTCTCTTGTCCTGTGATATTCTCACTCAAAGTGGCGGAAGGTAGGCATAAGTTAAGGTAGAGATTTTAAGGTGGATTCTGTTAAAATTGAGCCTCTGCTTCCAGACTTGATGTAGACACTACAAGTAAAATGGTTTGTCTCCAAAGGGCAGCGCCTCCCGATTGGTCATTCGTCCCAACGTCATCAGTGCTCTGCGCTTCACGGAGACTTGAGCTGGAGTTAACCCACCTTACCAGCTTCCACCACAACTGCAGGGGGAAATAATATGTGGTGGGAAAGACGCCTAATGCCTATACACACCAGCCTCACGCGTAAAATCAGCTTCTTTGGAGGTTCTCGATAGCAAATGTTCTCTTCTCTTTGTTTTGAAAGCACAAAGCTCCAAATTACGCATGGCGCGCGACACGGTGCACTTTTATTAAGCTTTAAGTAATTAATTCCCGAGGAACTAATAATGGGAAAGCACCACAGACACACCATTTAAGTATATTTAGCTTAAAACAGAAGAAAAAAATATTAAATATGAAGACGATATTGGCAGCTATGACTCACTGAAAAAAATATTTTTGAATGATTTATTCATTTTTCCCCTGACTCTCATGATACCAAAACTTACGAAACAGGTGTAAAAGCTGCAAAAGGGCCTGCAGCTTATGTAGCAAGATTGTTGTCTTTTTAAAATTATTATTTCTTTAAGCAACCAACAAATTAAAACACACATTTCTTTCCATTTCCTTTTTTTTTTTGCAGACTTTGCTTTGATGTCGCCTATTGAGCGGTCCCCTCTTTACACCTCACCCTCCCCTTCCCCAAAAAGTAACATATATTATAACTGGGGCTACTGACCATATGATTAAAGATCCTCAGACAATACAAAATGCAGCGCGTGTGACACATCAAATAACAATATGCCTGAGGTACAATAGGTTATTTTGCAGATGGAAGGGTGGATACCCAGATAAACTGACAGTGTCTTTTATCCCTCTTGTAATATGAGGCCCGATAGGGTCCTCAGCATATGTAAATTACACACTTTGCATCAGAGGACTGCGATGTTCGATTCCAAAACAAAAATAAAATCGTATCCCCCCCCAGACAATCCACCAGGCATTTAAATCATATTTTCGCAACTTTCAGCATGTTATTTTGTGCTGTATTTAGGGATTTCACAAAAATGGAAGAAAGAAAGGCGAAGAAAAAATAATTATGGTCGCAATCAAGTTACTAGGAAAACCTATTTGATTAGCGGCCACACTTTACTCAAATTGCAGCCATAAAATTAAGAACAATTCGCCTGTAATGATTATGGACTGGATTTATTTTGGGAGGGTGGAATAAAAGTGGATATAGCATAAATTATCCCCTAATTATACGCCGGTGTGGCCTCAATTATCCTCTTATCAAAAATGGTTGTCTAAATGCAGCGTTTAGTTTCAATTTTCTCCTTTTCTGAAACAAGAACTTGGTACCTTGCTATTATCGTCAGCTATGGTTGTTATTTACTTTGTGGGATTTAAAAAGTGCACAACCCAGCCGGATAATCATTTTACAGCAGCGGACCCAGAGAGGAGCACAGAAGCGAGGCAGTGAGCAGAGGACACTCTGGCGGATTGTTTTTTTTTTATTTCTGCACGTCCATGGAAGACTTTCTTTCCCAAATCTGGAGTAGTATTTGCCGTCAGGAGGTCTACAGGTAAAAGCTTCCTTTCAATGCACCTTTGTCTCCCGATGACCAATTTTTATTGCCTTTGATAATCCTGCATCTCAAGCCGACGGTGGCCTTGTGGGAGCCTGCACACCTCGGTCACCCCTCAGTGATCTAACATAGTGGCCAATTCCCCTGCCTGTGTTCCACTTGGACACGCAGTGGAGAAACCAGATCCTTTACCTTTTCTAATCGCCTTTGAGTGCTGCCACAAAGACAGACATGCTTTGCAGTGATGTTAGCTGCTTCCCCGCGGGCTCAAGAAACCCCATGGGGCTCGATCATAGGAGACATCCTCATTCCTCGTTTTTTTTTTTTTTGCTGCGTTTTTTTTTTCTTCTTCTCTCTTTCTGCATCATGCGTGCACCACCACGGGATGACTATGTCGCGGGATAGATGTCAGCGTCTCGGTGTCCCTCTTGTTGGGAGGCTTTTCCGTGCACACTGAGATTAAGGAGTGGAATGGTGAAAGAACAGATTTGCTTGAATAGAGGAAACACGACATGCTCGAACTTGGTGATTTGAATCTAAGACATGGCTCATTGCAAGCGTCTGATTGAAAAGTGCATTTAAACAATAGAATGCGATTGGACAAATTTGTCTGCCGTATTTCTGCTGTTTTTTTGTTTTGTTTTAAATTAAGAAAATAAATTCGCCTTAAAATGCACCAGATGAAACTTCCTGCTCCATGGCGCGTATGTTCACCTGCCGGATCATTCTTCCTTGTTCCTGTACACTCCCCAATAATATTGCAATCTAATGGTTCGCAGCCTCCTCCTGGAGAGAAATTACTTTAGATTTCAGATTGTCACAATGTCAATCACGAAATGAACAGCTGCAAATAAATCACTTTGTCCCCAAGTAGATGATTGACCTTCAGCACAATCAATGGCTATGGTGGCTTAACAAAAGTGGTCTTTATTTCCAGCTGTCTTCTAAACGCTGATGAATGACTCTCTAAAATCACTCCAATATTCCACCACTGGGGCTGCATCAGCTCCAGGATTTCCCTGACATCTACTGTTTGGGATGGGGAACATTGAAAATTGACAATATCTCGCACAGCATTTACAAATGACACCTGACGTTATGCTGTGGTTAACATAGTCGATGGGATATAGGCATTTTTTGGCCGTTTTTACGCACAGGGGAAAAAGGGATGTAATCGCACACATAATTAGGTGGATTTAGAAACGAAAATCCTAAAAGGAAAAAAGAAAAAGAAGAAGTCTGGATTTGTTATATTTTTTATGTCCATCTGGCCACACGTGTTAATCATATCTGAGCGTTTTTCACACGGTGTTCCAGCGGAGCCACAAGTGATGGCTGTAACGAACGGCTGCGTGTTTGCGGTCTGTAGCTTATGGACTGGCTCGCATGTGGAAAGCCACCTCCTCGCAGGCTTCTCGGGGACCGATCGGTTTTGGGACTTAAACAACATGCCTTCCCTCTCCGCAGCGCAGAGACACACACAGACAGCCAGGCGTCGGCTTCTCCATCTCTGCCGTGCGCACGCAGGGTGGGAAGTGGCAGATGCATTCCGCACACAGCTGTCAGAACAAAATGCTTTACGGCGACTCGAGTCCCTTCACGCATCAGCCAACAAGAAAAATAAATGATAAAAAAAAACACTAACCAGTCTCTAATGCTCCAGTAGAATTCACCCGTAACCAAATAATGCTTTTTTCCCCTCGTGCTTTTTTACGCATCTAAATTACGCATGGCCCACTAATAAAAACCCTGCTTATGCAGAGCTTTGATGTCTTTTGTAATAGCCGTGCAACTGCACCAAGAAACATTAGTGTGGTTTGGTCATAGAGGGAACCGTGCTCTCCCAGGCGGACGACTGTTTACAATAAGTTTTGCATCATAAATTACGCAGGCATTATCTCGCGAGTAAATAGCAAAATTGGCATATGCATGGCCCCAGGTGCAGGAAGGAGGGCCTTCAGATGGACCCAGTGTGGCGTGCTGCAAGAGGAGCTAAATGACCACAAATAGGCAGAGCCCTGCACCACTGAGTCTTCACAGCCTCTCATAGACTAATGGATTTAATTTGGCACGGCTCAAGCTGCACTGGTCCCACTCAGGGCCCGTGGCCTAATTAGGACAGCTTGTTTCTCCTGTCGCCTTGCTTCATTGCATGCTCAGGTCCACCTGAGTGATTGCATCACTCGGTTTTCAGCGGCCCCAAGGTGTTTTATGTGTGTGAATATGATTCTCGTTTACTTCTTGAAAAGCAAAAAGCAAATGAAGATGAAGGAAAGGAAGAGTGTGTGGTGTTGGAAAAAACAGCCCCACCTGATCTCTGGCTATTGTGAAAAGAAAGAAAACGATGGGACGCACGAGTGCTTGAAGCATTTTTCCTGGAGTAAAAATATCAATAACGACGTTTTTGCTTTTGGTTTAAACCGCTGATTAAGGTCAGGTGAGCAAGAAAACCCAGAGGTCTGGTGTGGTGCAATAACAAAGACGCTATCTCCAAAAAGTTTATCTAAATTTCATGTTGGTGGCAAATAAGACTGAGGCCCTGGGGTGCAGCACACAGGCCCCCCTTTTCCCCTCTCGACTTAATACGGCACATTATTAGGTCTGACAGCACAGTGGTCGGTCTTGAAGGAGAGGATTTGGTCTGTAGATGACAGACAGGAAGGCCAGCAATCATGGGCTTTTTTTTTTATCAGAATGTACTGTTCGATGCCGTTTATCCCTGATGATAGAAAATTGCTCTGTTGCCAGGACGCTGCCGCTGAAATAGAGGGCAACATTTCCATTTTCCAGTTTGAAAGCCATTGAAATGAATTAGTAAAAATGAAAAAAAGAAGGGAAATGAGAAAGAATCTCCCGGTAAACAAAAGGGAGCAAACAAAGATACAATTTTCTTTTGCCGAGAATCCACCCTCCTCATTTTTTCCCCCGGTTTTCTCCTCCCTTTTTTCACGCAGCAGTGTGATATTTTTTTTGTTTTTTACTTCAGCGGTTGCAAATCACATGGTTGGCTTTTAATGTAGTCCAAGGCCCGGGCCTGCACTTGAAAGAAAATCATTTATTTCCCGACCTCCTGAAATAATTAGAGCGCCTTTTCATCTGCTGTAAAAGAGGAAGAGAGAAGGAGCGAGGGAGAGAGAGAGAGAAAGAAAGGCAGGAATTAGGAAAGCATAGTTGACAACGAGGAGCATTAAGCAAACTCCTGAAATGTTTAGCCATAAAGCACAAAGGAACAGAAACCTGTCACAGCGGGGAGAAGAGCAGCGCCACAATTCTGCAGCTCTGAGAGCGCAAAGCTGTTAAATAACCCACAAATGTGTCCCACAAAAGAAATGGTTCGCTTTGCCATTAGCAATATTAGTTATTCTAACGATATCAGTATTATTAACATTATTCCTGTCGCTAATATTTGCTCCAGAACTATTTTCAGAATTATTACATCCATCATGTATCCGAGTAAAAGCTCAATGGTGAGTTTCTCGAGTTTTGAATTTAAAAAATGAACGCAAGACCGACTAAATCTATCTATG